ATAGATATATATATAGATATATATATAGATATATATATAGATATAGATATATAGACATACACACACACACACACTATACGTCATTCTGCACGTGATTGGTTCACGCCTTTACTCACGGTGTGGAAACTCTAAACATGCCACTTAACATTCACATTCTGTGCTCGTGACAAAAAACAACAATCAAAAAAAATATATATTAACGTGCAAATGAATCTCAGGAGAAAACACTGAAGCGTCCCCGCTGTGCATTCTGTCATGTTCTGAAGCACCAGCGAGAGCAACAACAGGCTGAACTGACCCATCGATGATGAGGCTCTCGTACGCAGCCTTCTTGTCGCACACGGGACAGATCCAGGTGGGCTTCTTCTCGTTCATCTGTAGGTAAAGGGCGGCGTCGAAGCACTGCAGGTGAGAGCAGGTCACCGCCCGGCACGGCGCCGTCAGCCGCATCTTCCCCAGCTAGGGGACAAAAGGTACCGAGGTCAGTCAGAGATGAACGGATCAGGAAAACGGGTTTGCATTCGTAAAGTAACACTTTAAAGACCGAATGTCACTGGCAGATATGGAAACGTGTCAAACTAACTCATGTTATGACACTATAGATGAGCACTAGTTGTGTTCTCATAGCTAAGCGGAGCTAGCTATACAGCCAACGGTGAGAAGCGAGCGTTGCTTGTTTGACAATTAACGCTAGCTATATGTTAGTGGACCCCGAGTATCGTTGTTTTTATTATATAAACTATTTATAATGCTTTTCAATCCACTAGATGGTGCTGAGTTACGTCATTGGGAGAGTTGGTTTAAATCAAAGATGTGTTGTTCAGTCACAAACACATTTTGCTGCAATAAATTGAAGTGGGATCAACCGAACGGAGAAACAGAGTAACTGCATCATTTGTGGTTGAATAAATAATGTATCGCAATATGTTATCGCAACAATTTCACACCTAATGGGAATGATATCAAAATGCCAAATGCCGGCGATATTATGGATTGAAGCAAATGTGGGCCGCTTTTAATAACAGCAGAACTATATCAAAACATCCGTTACCAAACTCGCCACTCTCTCCTTATCCTTATTGGATGCTTCCCAAACACCTGCGTCCTCACTAAAGGCTCACTATTTAACACACGGCCGCATCAACAGCTTTACGCTGGTACTGGAGTGTTACTCGTCCGCGTGTTGTTGATGTAGTTTTTGCTATTGTTAAACATTAACTTTAATTCATCAAGATGTTTCTCCGTTTTTTGGATTCTTTGTTCACTGCGGAGGCGTGTTCTTTTGTTCACCAAACGCGTGAATTTGTGGCTTTATTTCCATAATTATGTCAAAAGAGCCAATAATACTGAAAGATGGCACACAGGTTTCCTCTCATTTACCGGGCACATGAGTGAGACTCGAAGGCTCGTTGTAGCCACCTCGCTGTCTGGATCTGCTGTCAGCTTCTCTTTAACTGGAACACAGAGGACAAGAGGAAGAGGACCGAAGAAAAGGAAAGAATCGTTAAAAACAACCAACTATAACAAGAGACAGTTCTGTGAACCAGACATCACCAAGGGCCACCAAGTGCCACCCCACGTTGGCTTTCAACAGACGGCTGTGGGATGGGATGCACCGGAGTCAGAACTCAGCAGTGTCCACATGTGTGTCCACTTGACACTTCAATGCAACTTGACTGGTCACATATAATTCCTGGTCAAAAGTAACAGTGGTTATTAACACATTTCAATTTCTTCAAAATAATAGTCCCTCGTCATGTTTTGGCGCTCACTCTTCCTTCCTGGAGTCTTATTAAAGAATAGCCGCTAAAATAGCTCAGCTAATTCTCTAATAAACACGTTCTCCTATAAATTCTTCACAATTTTAGTCCCTAGTTACTTAAAAGTTTTTACTTTAAAGCAGCAAAATCAAGAAATGTTGGGTATTCATCTGCAGCGGCCCGCCTGTGTCTGTCTGTCTGGCTCTCTCTGTCGCTCTGAATCCCACCGCCTTGTGCAGCATTGAAGTAGCTGGGCTTGGTCAGGCCGAGGTACAGGTAACTGGATTGGTTCTGGTCCTACGCCGTGCCCAGAGGGCTATCTGGACCCAAACTACCCGAGGTCATTGCCAAACCTCAACCAAACATCTCTGCCTCAAACCGCTTCGCAGGGCGGGTCTCGCCATAAAGAGAAGCTGGGATTCATAACGACACGTTTAGCTCGCTAACTGGCTGATGGCTGCTTCCTCACTGGTTTGGACCAGTCGCGCGTACTTACGTATTTCTGCCCACCTAGCTGTTCTAACTGGATTGAAAACACAGTTGCATTTACAGTTGTATTCAATGTGGGCACAATGAGTGACCACCACCTCGGGAGGTGGTTTGGCTGATCGGATTACAATCCTAACCTGGGTGTAAAGACGGTAAAGGTTACTGCAGTGCATGTGAACACACTGTCCTGTCACCGGTGGAACCGGATTTTCCTGAGTAACCCGGTGTATTTAAACACACCGAGCTGTTCTTTAGTTCAGGTAAATGTTTTGGATTTGTAAAGACCTCTAGTTACGCTCGTCTACTGAGGTGTCATGGTGGTCTACTGTGTAGTTACTTAGTGCTCTGGAGTGGTCCGGGTTCCTGATGCCCTTCATCCTCAGCCTCTGCAGGAGCAGTGGTGATGTCAGCTGCCTCACCAGGTACACAGACATGGAATAGGTCTGAAAACACAACAACGGTGGGGTTTCTGTTACTTTCCCTGAACATGACGTCCAACTCAAGCACGGGGAAAAGAATAGAAAAAAGAAAGGAGGTTGATGTTCTCACTTTGCCAATTTCAGGCGCCCATGTCACTGAAATCTGATTGGGAACCGCAGAGGAGAGTCGGACAAGGGAGGTAATGTTTAGAGGTCTTCCTGGTCTCTTCTGCTCCACGCCGTTTTTCGGTGGTGGTGCATAACCCTACGGGAATATAATGCTTTGTCAGCGTCTTTATGGTTGAATGAAGGACTGGCTTCTTACTGGGACTGTTCTGGAGTGAAACTAGCACTTACTGGCAAAGGAAAAAGTTTCCCATTAACCTTTATACAAAGACTGTTTGGGTAGTTATCCTCTTGAGGGCAACTTGTCTCTGACAAGCAAAACCTGACAACACAAAAAAAATGATTTAAGAGCATGACTAGAAAATTATAAGTTAGCATATTTAGCATTTCTAAGCACCGGAGTCCTTTTGAAAAAGTTCATATTTTGCTGCAGCGGGTCAAGCATTAAAGATAACTATGAATGAATAGCCAATCTTCTCTCTGTCTCATTTACTCATGTTGGTAATAAAGAAGAATCCGTTTTAAACTGAGACTCGTTCATAACCAGCTGAAGGTTCCTTTGAGTAACTCACATTAGATTTTGTTTTCTTTTAGATTCTAAGTTGCTAAGAATCTCAACATCTATGATTGACAGGACGGAACACTCTGAACGTTCTCACCTCAGTTGAATCTGAACCATATAGTCCCGTCTGCCCCCTGGTAGAAAGTCCCTGTAAACACACAAGGTTGACCACACTAAAGATATGCAGCACTTACATCACAGACGTGGGTGTGTTTGTCTCTCAGAAAGGTCCTACCTGGATATGCACACTTCACGAACTTGCTGTGGCGTCAAGGCAAAGATGAAATACTTTTCTTGGTGGTACCTCTGTGCAGGACTCGCTCCTGAAAACACAAATGTTGACCGTTATTGCTATTCCTGAGATAACCTAAAATACCTTAACTCGAAACACACACACAGCATAATGTGTGACCTTTACATAGAGCATAGGGTTCACATTTGTAAATGGTAAATCTGCATTAATTCCCATCATGTGGCATCACAAACACTGATTGTGTTCAGGATTTGGTCCGTTACTAAAGACAATGGCACTTGGGAGGACATGAAGCTCTACGGTCAATTGACAAAACTCTGCACAAGCAACTGTGGTTACGCCTCACTATGGAACTACAACCTCCAAAGAACTGAGTCTGCAGCACTGCGTTGTGTTTACTAATGCCACAATCATGTTATATGGTAGGCCTGTCACGACAACTAGGCCTGATCGTTTTTAAGTTATTGTCTTATCGTACCATATATGGACACTGCCCCCCCCCTCACCATACTCAACAGCACTGTCTGTGGTGGAGACCTTCAGGTTTCTGGGATCCACAATCTCCCAGGACCTGAAGTGGGCCCCCAACATCAACACCATCAGGAAAAAGGCCCAGCAGAGGTTGTACTTCATGCACCAGCTCAGGAAGTACAACCTGCCTCAGGAGCTGCTGATCCTGTTCTACTCCACCATCATCCAGTCTGTTCTCTGATCCTCCATCACTGTGTGGTTTGTGATCGGCCACCAAACAGGATAGAAACAGACTGCACTGCAGACCCTTCACACCCTGGACACAAGCTGTTCAACTCCTCCCCTCTGGTGGGCGCTACAGATCACTGTACGCCAAAACCACCAGACACAGGAACAGCTTCTTTCCACTGGCCGTCACTCTGATGAACAACGCGTGAACGCACCTTGAGAACATTCCTCAGACCGACATCTTCCACAACACTAATCTGCAGTTTGTCTCCACTTCTCTGTAGCATCTGTTAGCTTGTCTTGCTTTAGTTTATCTCTACTTCTCCCACACGCTGCATCAACGTAGTCTGAAGACTTCCTCCACCGCTGCCAGTGAGCAACGCACTTTACAAATAATAATTTTTAAAAAACTGCGTTAACGCACAATAAAATAATTGTCGCGATAATACCGCGTTAACTTGCCCAGCACTAGTAAAAATGTAAATATTGTTTATTAACAATGTAACTCCCTATCCTGTACATTATGGGTATGATTCCATTGAACGACAAACGTTGGTTTATCTGAGGTGTCCATATTTGTTTGGTTTTCAGTCACTTCCATATAACTAAGTGTCACAGAGTTTCCCTGTCGCAATTGCAACTTGGAAGTTGACGTGAAAGCGTGTGTTCAGGGAGGCTAAGCTAAACTAGCTTAGCGGGGAAACAACAGCAGTTAGCTGTTCCCTACTGATTCAAACAGAGAATCAAATATCAGAGATAACCCCGTGATGACGGGATGCTTCGTCATTGACGGACAAGTCAGAACCAATGTAACTAACACAACGACAAGAACAAACTCACAAGAACCAGTCACATGTTTATATGACAACAAAGCAACAAATCAATCCAGCAACACTGCAGCGCTAGAGCACGAGCCATTCATACTATTCATATTATTCATAAAAACGACACCATAGACAAATGAACACAGTAGTAATGTTACTGCAGATGTAAAAACTAAAGCAGTTCACTTACCAAAGCTGCCTTCACTTAAAGACAAAGTCCATCCTCCTTTCTTTGTTAAAGTCAGTAACTCCTAAATCTATTTCTCCTCCTTCAGCCATTGAGTGTTAAAAACACACAGCAGGTAAAACAAATAACAGAATCTACACCAAGCACAACGCTAAACATGTCATAACTTCTCTTACATGTGTTTCAACCTGAACTCTTACTGAACACTAAGACCTGCTAGCTTGCTTTGTGTTTGACAAAAGACACGCTGGCCCACTGACCAATCACGGAGCATGTTAATGCAAACGTACTTAGAGGCTACCTGGGTACCACTGGCACGTCAAAGAATACGCCCAACATGTCAAACTAAAGATCTGATTGGTTGAAGACTATGACAATCAACAATATCGTCCCCATTCACTTAACCTGCAAAGTCTACAGAGGACCTCGGGCCTCTCTCCATACATAGAGACATAGAGGCTGAATCTGATTGGATAAAAGCTCTCCTTAAAACAAGCTGTGCTGGAAGCAGAGCAACAGAGGAAGACTGTAGCCGTGCAATGAGAAAGTAAGATAATGGGAAAAATAATGATAATACATGTAGTGTGTTTATGAAAAATGATTCAATTATAAAATAGCTATAACTTTGTGATTGTGTTTAGGCCATCAGTTTCTCCACCACTGGAGAAACTGATTTACAAGTGGGAAACTCATATGTGACATGAATGTGGCATTGTGTCCATGAGCAATTTCTTGGCTGGTTGTATTAAAACAATTTTACACATTTGAAGGCTTTGGGTTTTTATAACCAGGACAGTATTGTGTTGAAAGCATGATGTTTTGTTATCATACTAAATCTCAGAAAAGTAACAAACCCAGCCCAAGTCATGAGAGCACACATGACATGGCTCAGATCAGAGTTATTCTTTACAGGAAAGAACCACAAGAACAGACCTAGACTTGAAGGCTTGATCAGGACGTCCAGCACGTCATAGAAGGGCAGCGGCTTCATCTGCACGTCGGGGTGGACGGGGGGGATGAGAGGGGCTGGCTGCTGGAGATTCATGCTGGTTTCGCTGTGGTGCCACACGCGGCCGCTTCACCAGTCAACGGGCTGAAGTCTGCGTTACAGGACTGACTCCTGCAAACAGAGATGTGAGAGTTCACTACAGCTACCCCGTTCACATGAGAGGGCAACCATGACTTCATGTTGGCCGAATGGGGCAGGCTGTCTACTACAATCCTAGAGTTTACCACCAATAAAGCCCAGTAACACTTGAAGCTCTGCCATTCTCAAACTTGATACCACCCTGTGTGACACAACACAAGAAATGGGTACATTAAGACATGAAGCATCCTCACCAAACAGACACCACAGCTGAGCACTCACACTGACTCAGTCTAATGGAGATCCACCAGAGGTTAGTTAGTACCTTCCAGCGATTACGACAAGATAACAAGAGATGAAACGATTACTTTTTGTCTATGGAGTCTTGTGTATTTGGCAACAGTTATAACTGCTGTTTGTGGTTCAACACAAAGGATTTTATTGTTGAACACAAAGGTCCAATGCGTTATATGTTAGAAGTCAGATACCATCAGTGGTAAGAACAAGTGCTTGTGATGTGATGGTTCACTTTGACACTGTGACCTGTAGGCTTCCTTTAGCTTCTATCTTTATCTGTTTAACCTCTTTCCACCGCTGAGTCAGTTTGATATCATAGATATATTATATAATGCATATCGTAGACAGTTCTGTGTGCTTCTCTGTGAAATCGCATTTTGTTTTTCCAAAAATGAGATCCTATTTCTTCAGTGGGTGCAGTTAGTGACAGTGTGGGCTCCAGGTACAGAGCAGCAGCAGTGGGCGGGGCCAAGGCTCAATTCAGACAGGATACAGAGAAACACGTGTCCCTCGCCTTACTCTTAGTCCTTCTTCAATGAAGGGTTCCTCCAACTGTCATCAGGAAGAACTGAACCATGTTCCTGGGTTTCCGGCCACACTAACTGGATCTCTCTTGGTGTTGTACTGGGTGAAGTTGAACACCATGTCATATTCATTAAGTTCAACAAATATGACAAAGCGTTCCCATCTAACGAGCCAGTGAACTCCATTAGCTTCAGACGTGATCAGAAGTGGTTGTAGACAGACTAACGGTGCACAGATAGACGCCTTTAGAGACTATTCTACGTCCAGTCCTAGCCGCTGGGTCTCCGGTCCCCAGCGTCCCTGATCAGTTGACCTCACGTGCGATTAACGGTGCACAACAGCACGTTAGCAAGCTAATGCTGATCATCTACGGAGCACTGAGCTTCGTGTTTGGAAACAGTTTGTTGACATGTGAAAGTAACGTCACAGTTTGGACACCACACAATAATACAAACAGGAAGTAAGTTATCAAAGCGATAAATCAAACCGGCTTTAGAAATCAGTGTCGCTACATAAAGTTGTGATATTATGCATCCCTTGGCTAACCGGGTGTATCATCGCGTTATTAGCTGCATGTCATTTCGTGCAGAAAACTATTAGTATTACTGATGTGGTGCTTAGCAGCTCTAGACCCCCGCGTTCATAGTCCATGTATGTGATAGAGACTGCTGTAATAGTTGGGTTTAAAATACAAGGCAGTAATGGTTTCAGCTAGTTGCAGCGAGCTAACAAGGGACCCACTAGCAGCTGTTAGCATCGAGGCTAACTCCTCTCTCTCTACGCAATGAGCGTGCACATTCCCGACTAGCGAGAGCCCGTCAACGCAGAGCGCCATGCATCGACCGACCCAGTCGGTCCAGGCTATCCTTACATGTTGCAGTGTGCACAGAAGTAAGACACGGGCAGTGTTTTTCTCTTTTGCCTACCCGAAACTCTCCACTCTCCGCCATCTTGTTGTTGCGGTCATCCCGCCCAGCGTGACTACTTCCAGGTGACGCCAAAGCTGGGAAGTGGAGGTCAGTACGGAGCACTGTTGGGGCCAAAAATAAACAACAACTAAAGTGACCGACTGCGTTCGGAGGGGAAATTGTGCTGCAAAATTGTTTACAAAGCACAATTTCCAGTTTTTGAGTCACGGAGCTGTTTTTTCTGATATTTAAAAACGAGCCCAGGTCCTCCGCGGTTTTCCAATATGTGAGTGGTTAGTTAACGAAAGGTTAGTCCTTATTTTTCGTGCCTAGCTTTTCTGTGAAAGCCAGCAACACGTGTCATTTCCCGCTCCTTACGTGCGTACAGTCCTTTCAAAATAAACTCCCGTCTCACAGGAAACTACTGTGTTAGATTAAGGCAGCAGAACTACTTCGTTGTGTTTGGGAAAACATCCTGAAATACTTGGTTAGGTTTGTGTAAGAAAACTACTTAGTTAGGTTTAGGAAAAGACCGGGTTTGCTTAAGCATGGCAGTTACTTGACAAATAACTCAACATTGACTCTGCCACAGAATGAACATGTGATCACATTAATCATGTTTTCTTGTTTTGTTAATCCTGGATGAAGTCTTGAATAACAGTGTGCTCTTGTTTTGAAATATTTTTTATGTAATCAGTTATTAGTGAAAGTGGTGAGACCGTTTCAGCAGTTGGTATTTGCTATGCAAAGTTAATTATCTGTAAATAATAAATATATTTCAACTTCTTTATCCAGGAAAATAAGTTTTACCGTTTAAATGTAAAAACTCACTTATAATGTCATGATTCCATTTCCAACAGACTTGAAGCAGTTTTAGCAGAGTTCATGCCATTCTCTTTTCTTAAGGTGCCTATTTCCATTTGGTTGTTGATGTGAGCTTACTGTCATACCTGATTTTAATTTGATTTCATCTTAAGTTGTTTCATCGCTTGCTTTCCCAGCTTTGCCTGACACCGGTACACCGGTACACCACATCAGCTGGATGCAGTGCACCAGAAGCCACGTGGAATATGACTCCTGGATTTGACGTGGGTGTTGAGGACTTCCGTAAAAAAAGTGCCTTTTAAAGACTTGGCTGGAAAAGAAGAAAGCAGATTTCAAACTGAATGAGGTTTGTGGCAAAAAAATAAGTAGTTTTATGACAACAAATCGGCTGTGTTGGCCTTTTCCTTAAAGGGCCAGTTCGCTTCAATCATTCAGAGAAAGTATCAGAAGTCATAAAAACGCCTCTCCCTTATAAGATTACCATTCATGACCTGCAACAAATTCAAACGAACGACATTACGGTCACATGGTAACCACTGGAGCACTTGGTCATTCCCATCCCTTACATCATCCTCAAACTCCTGAGTTAATACAGCTCAACTTGGAGAACAATTGAAGCCTCATTTTCCAACTTGTCTCTGGTCAATTTAACACAAACTAATAGTGATAGTTACCTTCTGTAGTCTGTTAGGACTATGGCACATGTACTTCCTTTGGTTTTCTTCTGCTGGCTTGGGCCAGCAGCTTAGTTCCAATTAAGAGACAATCTTTGTCAATAAACTACCACTGTTTGTTTTTGATTATTGTGCTCATTGAACTTTGTGTCAACGGTTTGTCTCTTTCCTGTTGAAATATCGTAAAAACGCCCCCGTGCACAAAGCCAGGTCCATAAAGAAATGGTTCCCCCTGTTCCCCCAGAGCCAATTGAACACGTGTGTACTTCAGGGCAAATGATGTGATACAGACACATTCAGTGGTAAAAGGTCTTTGCACTAAATAAAAGAGAAACATGCATGATTCCCTGTTGTGTTGTGTTTTTTGCATTGAAATACACTGATGTAACTGACATGCTTCTTTAATGGGAGATTGTTGGCATTGATGACATGCATGCAATGTGAATGTGTTTAGTCCCAGTAGTCCTCTGTCCTCTGCTGGTGGTTCCACCACACAGTCAGCTGGTCCTGCACCAGTGTGGCACAATAACATAAAATGAACATGAATGCTGAGTAAGACAAAGATGTCTCAAGGACACAATGATGGATTTAATCCCTCTCGATCAAGAAGTGAGCCGGAGCACCAACAATTTTTATCGTATATCTTTCTGCTTCACACACTGAAATACAAATCACATCAAATAAATAAAAAGTATATGTGTGACGGTGGTAAAAACCTGTAATGGCTTGTGTTAAAAAAAACATAGAAAAGGTTAAATATGAACATGCAAAATGACCAATACATTTTGAATGTTAGCTATTAAAAAAACACATAAAATAAGTGTAGAATTTAAGTTAAAAAAAGTTAGTTTTTTTGTACATAGCCAATGTCACAGAGGAATCCATGTACATTTTCACTACACAACATAACTCCATGAAATAAATAAATACGAGTTACTCTTTATTTGTACTTTTCAAACAAACATTCTCCACACTTCACACGATAACATGTATAATATTTCTCTCTCTGCAGATCATGAATTGAAGGAGTGTGAGGACCGTCATCAGTTTGCTAAAGGACAAAAAAAAAATTATTTGTGACAAAGCTTAGTTGTGGAAAAACTACTTTATTAATCATTGCCTGTGTCCAAGGCGGGTAGGAGTGAGAGAGGAGGTGTTAGCACCCAGCTGCCTTCTGAATATTTCCATAAAACAGGAAGTCAAGAAGGACACTCTTGACCTTTAGGTGGGCCTGTGTTCCTGTTTCCTGTTGGGTGTGGTGAGTAAGAAAGGCTGTTTTAAGGTCGTAGTTTTCTAACTATTTACTTGCAAGTTTCCTAGAAAGAATTATGCAACTTGGCACCAACGAGGGGAAGTAACGACTCATGTTTAAGGCATTTATTTGAGTTTGGTTTGTTGGGTTGAGTTAATGAGAAGTTGTTCCATAGGACTTTTTTTTCGCTTTTTCATTTTTTGATAGTTGTGTCTGTGTTAATGCATATGGCATACATTTTTTTGAATTTTGGAAGTCCAACCTCAGCTCCTATAGTAAGTCTATAACAACATGTGTAGCCAGAATACAGACACTCAGCTCCTTAAGGACAAACATGTTCCCATTGCATTATATCAGGCTTTAAAACTGGAGCCCTGGCTTCAGAAATGCCTTTTTTTCTAATTTTCCACCACGTTGAGCCATTTTCTCCATTGTTCGCCATATCGAGGGAATATACAGTATGTTACTTTCCTGAATTCCATGAGGGGCATTGCTGCCATATTATGGAGACTGTGGCAAAATGTTTGCAACTTAAACGATAAGTGGGTGTTGATATGGCTGTCGGAGAGTGGTGTGTGTACACACACTTCAAGATCAATAGAATGTGCAGTATAATATACCTCGTAGGTGCAGTGTATTTCAACTTATGACCAACAGTATAGACTATAGAACTTTGAATGTAGGTGTGTGTGTGCATACTAAGTTAATAGGCTATTAGAAGATTTTGAAGGGGGATAATATATTGGAGGGCTACACATTTGTACGGTCCCAGATTATGCTTAATTTCAGGTTCACACATGTATTTGGACTTTCTAATAGAACATCTTGGCATGCTGTCATGTTGGAAAGACTCGTCATTCTTCTCATACTGTGCCATACACTATGGCTGTGTATACCTTCTGCCTGAATTTCTATTAAACAACAGAAATAATGAACATTAATAAATATTAAGTGTCTGAAATAGATTTGTTTTTGCACTGTACTTTTGCTCTGGTTCATGCTCTTAGATGCTTGTTTAAAGGAGATGCACTTATGACTTCTGGTGACGAGTAGTTCTCTTGAATACCGATGTTGAATTATACACTTATTGTAAGTCACTTTGGATAAAAGCGTCTGCTAAATGACTGTAATGTAATGTAATGTCTCTTACTCACAAAGTCATAATATAGAATACATCCGGGCATTTCTTGTGTACAAAATAAATCCACACACATTGCAGTGTGAATGGACTACATACGTCATACTTAGTATGAATAGTATCTTAGTATGCGATTTCGAACACAGCCCAGACACATATTCGCCGCGCTGTGTATTCTGGGAACACACAGCAGTTTCAAGATGGCGGCGAGCAGGAGGCTGGCCAAGGTAAATCTCTCGATGACGTTATTTTCATATAATTTGTAATGTTTAAAGACGCATTGGCGGCCGCGGAACGCTTCGTCCTTCGCCTAAACTCATACGAGATCACGTCGTTTGAAGACGCGGGTCTTGCCCGTCTGTGGCTGTGAACGTAATAGAAACGAGAGGTCACTACTGGCCAACCAGCTAACGTTAGTCGGCCAAATATCACCGTTAAGCAGCAAAGCACCGGCAAGTTAGGCCAACGAATCCCAGAGACGGCCACGGAACATCGGTTTCGTTTACTAGACGACTGTAGTTGTCGTGCAGCTATGGGTTGTGTGACCGAAGGGTCGAGTTTTAGTTGTGGCCAACGGAAGACCGCGAGGGGATTTCCAACGGCATAAGGCGCTAGCTAATCAGCTAACATGCTAGCCCGAGATCTTAGCTGCGTTTCAGCTAGCTAACGTTAGCCAGCGAGCGTCGGCTGAACTCGCAGTTAGCCAGGTTCGGGAGTTCGTCACTCGGGGACGAGTGAAGGCGAATGTAGTGTAAATCTACGGCGAACGTTTTTCATGGCTGGTATGTGAAAAAGACTCACGTCGGGACAGGATGGGCCGTTTTCCAGACAACAAGTCGGCGACACTTTGTACGGGAGCTACACACACACACGCGCGCGCACACAACAATATTAAGAGGTGACGTTAGCTGGCACGACGGAACAAGGAAATCGGCTCTGAAAGAAGACGGACACCGGAGCAAAGCATTGCCCTGTTTCACAGATCAACATTGGGGCTTTTGTTTAGGCCGTTACACTGCCTCGTAACTACCAGCTATAAAGATTGATCACTAAAGACGAGACTCCACCGGGATCTGTCACACTCGGCCCGGCAGATGTCAGTGTGATTTCCCCCCTTCTAGGAGAGCTCTGACCGATGCCACCCGGCACCATGTCTGCATGATAGGGAGGATGACTACACATTATTCCTAGACAGTCACGTGCTTCTCAGGACGCTCAAATTATGATAAAATAGCGCTGAAAGTCAAACTCTACTCGCTAATATTGTCCACCAAGTTTTAGAAATCACATTTGGTGAGCCTGTCATCTATCTATCTATCTATATGTGTGTGTGTGTGTGTGTGTATATATATATATATATATATATATATATATTTCTATCTGGGTTGATTTATTGGAGTGTATGTATATATATATATATATGTGTATATATATCTATATATCTCTATATCTCTATATATATATCTCTATATATCTCTATATCTCTATATATCTCTATATCTCTATCTCAGTTGGATAAATGGAGTGAAAGGTCGGTATTGTGTATAATGTGATTATTTAAATTATTATTGTTAATATTAACATTTAACTGAGAGAGCAAAGTTGTAGATGCCATGTTTTGAGAAAATGTAGCTGCATATTATTTATGCCCCCCCCCCAACATAGAACGCCACTTCTGCTGTTGAACCGGGGCAGAGTGTAGGCGGACATGCTCTACCTCCTGACACCAGCGTCACTCAAACACCTTCAGGTCCACTCCCCATTGAGCATGCACCCTGACCAATCAGTGAGAGTCACTAGTGCAGCCAAAAGAAGTCGCTTTGGATAAAAGCGTCTGCTAAATGACTGTAATGTAATGTAAAAAGAGACAAAGATGGCCGCCCTCGCCGACTTCCTGCCTGCAAACTAAATTGTAGTGAGGCAAAGCTGGAGGTGGCCGTCTCAGTAATTGAACCGGGGGAGTCTGGGGTGGTGTGCGAGGTGTACTGGAACTGGGTCCAATTCAAAACCGCTTCTCTATACTCAACCCTCTGTAATGTACATTGTCTGCTTGCTCTCTCAGGAACTTGAAGAGATTCGCAGATCTGGAATGAAAAACTTCAGAAACATTCAAGTGGAGGAATCTAACCTGTTGTCATGGCAAGGGCTCATCGTCCCCGTAAGTAGCCTCTCCTCGTGCGCCCGTCTCTGCCCTCCGTCCACCTGCGCTTCGCTTGTCTTGACCTCTGATTGTTCTTCTGCTTCCAGGACAACCCTCCTTATGACAAAGGTGCGTTCAGAATCGAAATCATTTTCCCCACTGAGTACCCCTTCAAGCCTCCCAAGATCACGTTCAAGACAAAGATCTATCACCCCAACATCGACGAGAAGGGCCAGGTGTGCTTGCCTGTGATCAGCGCAGAGAACTGGAAGCCTGCCACCAAAACTGACCAAGGTGGGTGTGCTAGTGTTGCAAGGGGTCCTCCGACGGCGATGGACTGGTTAGCTCGCATACGGTTTGCCTACATTCATTTAAAATCTGTTTATTATTTATTATGTTAGACCGTTCCAAATCATGGGAATTAAGAACCTTTTAACATATGCCGTTAAAGGTACCTAAGCACTATTTAGTGGACACGTCCTTATTCTCAGCTGATAGTTGGGAAGTTGCAGAAGTGTTTGTTTTCATAGTGAAACATTCAGGCGATAGACCCGCCTTTAAAAATCCAGCGCTTCGCCCGCATCAACGTCAGCACTTTCACCCCCACGGCAGAGATGACGTTCCTTCTGTGTCTCTCAGTGCAGGACATTTGTCCCGTCCGTGGTTCGGTCTGATCGTTTCTGACCAAAACATTCTCGCTCTGAGGAAACAAACGACTTCGTCAACTTGACTGAGAACCGGCAAGAGAGCTCTGATGTTGGGTCGGCTCGTCACACAGGAGTGTGTTGTCGTGTCGGTTGACATCGGCTACCTATGACTGCCTAGCGCCCACATTTTGTAGTTTTATAATCATAACGCACACTAAATTAAACTCTCAATAAATGATAAATACACAAGCCTATGTATTACACAGTTGGGTAAAAAGTTGTATTTTTAATCCAATCAGGACCAAGACTTTCCACTCTGGCTTACTTTACTTTAGGAGGTGTTAGTGACGGTCGAGATGTTCCGGTACCATGTTTGCCGTCCTGAACCCGATTCCGATACCTGAACTTGCGTATCGGTCGATTCCGAGCACCGATGCGATACCTGCGCGTTCATAATCCCCTTTCTGTTTTATACTGTGTGAAAACATCTCCTTTAAACAACTGTAGTTATTCAAGTTCCTCGCCAAAAACTACATTTTAAGATTACATTTGAACACATCATGGTAACGTTGAATCGACTTTCGCTTAATGCTCATTTATACTGAACGTGACATCAGTTCATAGACCTGCGGACTCGCCACTGCCCAATCCAACCTGTTGCATCAGTGCGGTCATCTTTCTAGAGGGCCTTAAAGAGACAGGCGTGAACACAGAGCGTTGTTAGACAGAGGAATAGTGAGAAACATTAAAGCATGTAAACATGTTCCACTAGAAACCCAAAGCGCAGTATGAACGACGTGTCCCCTTTAATTCCTCTTCATGTCGTTGCTGCGGCTGCTGCGTCTTGTCGGGGAGTGCGTTGTTCATGTCTAACCTGATTTCCTTGGCTGTGTGTGTGTGTGTGTGTTGCAGTAATTCAGTCCCTCATCGCGCTGGTCAACGACCCCCAGCCGGAGCACCCCCTCAGGGCAGACCTAGCAGAAGAATACTCAAAGGACCGTAAAAAATTCTTGAAGAACGCTGAAGAGTTTACAAAGAAATACGGCGAAAAGCGGCCAATGGACTGATCACCTGACGAGCGTGTAGCCCTTTCTCTGTCTCTTTCTCCCCCCTCCCCCCCTCTCCTATCTCACCTGCCCAACCAAATACCAACCCCCCCCTCCTCCTCCTCCCCTACACCGATCCTCCCTGCAGTCCCTCCCCATCCAGGACTCTCTGTGGATCAGACAGCTTCCTCTTAACTACCGCTCGTCCTCCTCGGCCATAAATCTCCATTTCTAACTTTCTACTCTTTTCTTAATGTGAAATAAAACGGGAAAATAAATTCTAAGCGAATGAAACGTTTAGACGAAGAGTTAGATGGAAAGCCTAAGTAAAGTGTAATTGTCTTTTCTTTTCCTTTGTGTTGAATAGATCTCACTTAGACTTTTCTCGAGTATTTTTCGCAAAGCAGGAAAACCGGACGATAACAAATTTATTCTTCTTTCCCACCGTCGATAATCTTTAAGCTAAAAAAAAAAAAAACCAGCAAAGCGAGACAGAAAGAAGAGAAGCTGTCAGTAGCAAACGTTCCCCTCACTCGCCTCTCTTAGACGTGCACTGTGCTCTATGGGACCCCCCCCCCCTCCCCTCTGTTTGTAACACACTGAGCAGGCCGTACATTAGTGGAATTGTTCTCACTGAAAACGTGACGGAAGGTTCTTAAGTGAGAGAAAACAAAGTAAATTGGTTCCATGTTATCGTGAGCCAGCCCTAAAGGCGACGGCTTTTGTGATCTTTTTTTTTTTTTCTGTCTTTATTAGTAATCGTTTTGCTTTCTTGATTGGCACTTGGTGCAAATAAAATCGGTAACGCAGGAAGAACCCCTTTTGCTTAATTTGAATCTTCAACGCATGTCTCCCAATATCACACCGATCACATTCGACACAGAGCCCTTTACCACACACACATATTCCAGCAGGCAGACGGACTGTCGGCTGCCCAGCCTGTCGGGAGGAGGAGCAGGAGGGGAGGAGGAGAAGCTGGAGAAGGATGCACTCGGCTGGAATGAAGCTCAGCTCCTGGAGGCGGTCCTAAAAACAAGCACCTTGAAGGAAGCTGGGAGAGGGCTGGCTGTCCGGGGGGTGTGTCAGGACACGAAAAAGGGACTGCAGTGGCCAAAAATACAAAAAAAAACATCATGTAACAGCTGTTTGATCTGGTCCCAATATTGTTTCATAATAAAGATGGCTAACCATTTGGCCTCACTGTCTGCCTGGTAGTCAAGTGAATATTGCTCATGTTTGTATAATTCATATCTATATACAGTTGTGTGAAAAAGTGTTTGCCCCCTTCCTTATTTCTTATTTTTTTGCATGTTTGTCACACTTAAATGTTTCAGATCATCAAACAAATTTAAATTTTAGACAGACTACACAAGTAAACACAAAATGCAGTTTTTAAATGAAGGTTTTTATTATTAAGGGGG